GGTAGGGGAAAATCCATTTCCTGCTTATTCAGGCTGTTGGCATTCAGTTCTCTGCAGTTGTAGGACTGAGGTCCTGTTTTCTTCCTGGCTATAAACTGGGGTTGTTTTCAACATCCAGAGGCCACTTCATTCCTTGGTTCGTGGCCCCCTTTCTCCGTCATCAAAGCCAGCAATGGCAGGTCAGGTTCTTCTCATACAGCATCTCTTTGATTCACTTTCTGCCTCTCATCTGGTTTTAAGAGCTTGTATGGTTAAATTGGGCTCATCTGCATAATCCGGGATACTCCCTGTTTAAGGCCAAATGATTAACCACCTTAATTCCCTTTTGCCATAAGTGGTACCATATTCACAGGTCTGGGTTTAGGACCTGGACATCTTTAGAAGCCATTTTCCGCCTCACATCCTGAGAAGCACTTGCTAGGATATACTGCCTCCTCATAATCAGTAATCTCAGGCTCTGTACCTCTTCTTTGTGCAGAGTCTTGTGGGCAGGCAGAGGTGGACCAGCCTAGGTTATAGCATGGGCAGGAGAGAGTCAAAAGGGAAAGGCAATCTGAGTGTGTTNCCAGCCTAGGTTATAGCATGGGCAGGAGAGAGTCAAAAGGGAAAGGCAATCTGAGTGTGTTCCTTTGTGGAAAGAAGATCCTGGGTGCACCCCTTCCAGAGCTAAGTTGGGACCACTGGGAATATGGGTGGAAGGTACAGGAAATGCATAGTCTGTTGCCCATGGTGAGTGGGGCCTGGGTTGGAGCACTACATTTCTGGGATCATGCCTGTTTTCCTACTTGTATTTTTTTGTATTTTAAAGTAACCTTTGTAAGACAATAAATATGTTTTTGTATTTTGGATCTAATTATAAATGAATTTGCATTAAATTAATTTTTATCACATTTTGCCTAGCTTCCTTTAAACTATAATTTAGGATTATCCATAGATCTCTCCTACCCCTTACTATTACCCACAATTAAGTAAGAGATAATCGTAAATTTTCCCTTACTGTACTAGTTTTCTGTTGCTGCATAATAAATGATCAGAAACTTGGAAGCTTAAGCAAACACAAATTTATTATCTCACGGTTTCCAGGCATCAGGAGTTGGGTGAGTTTTAACTGGGTCCTCTGCTCAGGGTTTCTTTCACAAGGCTGAAATCAAGGTGTCAGCCAGCTGTGTACTCATCTGGAGGCTTGACTAGGGAAAGATCCACTTCCAAGTTCCCTCATTTGTTGTCAGTTCATTTCCTTGCATCCCTATGACTAAGGTCCCCGTTTTTTGGCTGTCTATGGGCCCAGGAACAATCTCGGGTCCTAGAGTTGCTCTTGGTCCTTGCCATGTAGCCCTCACCACAACATGGCAGTTTCTTTCTTCAAAGTGAGCAGAAGAGCATCTCTAACACTGCCGTTTTTGAAAAGGCTCACCTGATCAGGTCATAATAATGACCAGGGATAATTTCCCTTTTGATTAACTCAAAGTCAATCAATTAGTAACTTAATCATGGAAGTGACATACCATAATGTTTACAGACTGTGGCCTCACTCAAGGAGAAGAGATTATACAAAGTGTATACTCCAGGGAATGGAAGTCTTGGGGGCCATTGTAAAATCCCACCTACCGTATTTACCGAGGATT